GGCCGCAAATGGCCCCCAGGCTGCATGTTTGAGACCCCTGCTTTAAACTAACACTTCTCTAGCTCTGGGGCTTGTTATTTATATAATCAAAAAACATGGATGATACTTAGATTTACTTAGTTAATGCTGCATTTATTTGGGCCTTCATTTGGGATCAGTATGTTAAACTTATATGCCGCCCACTCTACCCAAAGGTCTCTGGGCAGCTTACAACAATTTTAGAGTGGAGCCCTAATTAGTTACAAAAAACAAGTTGCAATTTTAGTTAGTTAGGCATCCTTCAGTCTCGAAAGACTATGGTAACGTGCTTTGTATGGAGGACTTGGAACAGTGTCTAGTGTGGCTGAGGAGGCTGATTCGAGAGTGACAATCCTTTCCACACTGAAGACAATTCCAATCTGTCCCCTATCCAACTGCCTGATTTTGCTGCTTTTGTGATTTCCTCTTTGCCTCAGCCTGCTGGACAAAGGGCTAGTAATTCTGTTTCCTAGTTACAACACAAAGTACTAATATAACTTCAGAATCATTTGCTTCATCCATTTTGAGTTTTAACTGTCATGGCTGATTTAGTTTAATAGTTACAGTGTTATGCCCTCACTAAATGGTGCATAAGGGCCATCACATGGTTCTGGTTTGAAACACACTGTGTGTCATGCTGTTACCTTGTTCTCTGTTACAGGTGTTGATATCAGTTAGATGTGTGTAGGATGTGTTACTTGTAGCATTCAAATCCTGTGTAAAATATTTAGTGATTTTTGAGAAAGAAAAAAGCAAAGAGCTACTTCTGAAGATATTAACATGATAACTTGGTATTTCTGGGATGTAGAGACTATAATAGGAACTAATTACTTTCTCAAAGTAACATGCAATAGGAAAGTAATAATTCTTACCTAGCTTACAATGTTGTTGTAAAGATTAGTAAAATCCATATATTAATTGTTACCGCCATACAGAGAAATCAGTTCTTGTGTTACTTGTTATTAGCATATCAGCATATTGTCACCATTGAAAAATGCAGAAAAATGCTTTGTGGTTCCCTCAAGAAAACTCTTCAGTCACTTCTCCCCATCTCTAGCAAACATTACAAATACAATATTACCAATATTTGACATAACTGCAAAGCATCTGAATTTTATTCACACAATCGAATATGAGCTAGCCTTAGATTCAATCCTGCTAACTAAGTCTACAGGGAAACAAATCTCACTTAATTCAAAGCGACTGTGACTTACTAGTTTTTGTGTCTATGACTGGTTTAGGTGTTAATTATACCCAGTTTCTTTGTTTTGTTTGCTTGTGGGTAGTCAGGCTGATTTCCTTTGGAGTATGGTTTGGAAGCTGGAAAAGGCAAGGGTGGGCAGAAAAGAAGTGCAAAAATCGCTTGCTGAATAATTCCTTGTTCATAGGAAGGAAGAAGCACAAAATGAACTGTTTTGTGATTTTGTCCGTCTCTTTCCTCCTCTTACTCTTCAGGCCAAACACCAACCTGTTCCCCCACCACCACCACACACACAGGCAAGTTCTTGCTCAACTCAAAAATATTAAATTAACCTATAGGTATAACTAACTTTGTTTCAGATCATAACTGTCACATGGAACTTGTTACAAAGATAGAAAGAGTAAGTTCCTTCCAAACTCTGGTTGTAGTGATGAAACAGAAATGTTCTGAGGTAGCTGTGCTGTCATGGCACCTTTCACAGTAGCATCCTTACAGATCTGCTGTCTTGCTCCTTAAATGGTGTGCCACTGTTGAGCAACCCTTGACGGCTAAGGCTGTCAGGGCTACACACTGTTCTTTGCTTCCTAAGGGTCTTTATGTAGTTTACTTTCACTGTACAAGGCAAAAGAATATGTCTTAGCACAACTGCGTCTTACTCTCTTGTACTGAAAATCCATGGATCTACATCTGGCTGTGATTTTTACCACTCTGGCAGGTTGGGAGTTTGATTACCCACTGCGTCTCATGAGAGAAGAGCCAGCCTGTGTGGATTTGGGCAAGCTGCACAGTCCCAGGATGCCCCCAGAAGAAGAGAATTATAAACTACTTCTGAATCTCTACTTAGAAAAACCTGGAAAGGGTTGCTATAATTCAGAATTGACTGGACAGTGTGCAATTAGGGAAGAAAGATGTTTGGCTTTCTATGTACTGTTTAGTCACAATGTCTATTCTTCATCATTGACTATGCTGGCTGGGGTTGATAGAGCTGTAATCTATCTGAAGGAGCACACATTCCATACCCCTGCTTTAGAGTAGTAGTGGTGGTGGTGGTGGTGGTGGTATGTGTGTGGGGAAGCGTTAGCCTCCTAGATGTTGGAGTGTAACTCTGGTTAGTGCCGACCACTTGTTGTGCTAACTGTGGCTTATGGGAGTTGAGCAGGCCCAGCTACATATGTTCAGGGTCCGAATGTAACTTGTTCATGGCTATGTCCATGTTGATTTGCAGACATTTTGTTTTCTGTGTCCAAGCATAGGTCTAGATGGATGATTCCTCAGTCACCTTGGCTTCTCTGGAGAGTTTCAGAGGCAGTTTCCAAAGTGATGCCACAGCTGTTGAGTGGGGAAAGAGGCCCACTACATACCAAAACCTGGAAAT